TCACTTCCGGTGAGTGGAGCGCACGCTGAGCGGTGCGTTCCAGCGGCCATCTTACACATATTACACTATTTGAGATTTCTTTTTCCTGGTTGAACGGTGGAGCCTATTCGGATGGTGAAGAATTCTATAGAGTGGATGCTAAAGAGGGTTTAGGATCCCTTTAAAATTCCTTAAAGGCTTCTCACTCACCAAGTTCTGGTGAGTGCATTTGATGTTGGTTTCTGCACGGATGGAAGGTGGAAGTTTTTCTTTATATTTAAGGAATTTCTGGAATTTTTGATCTTTATTACACATGGACTTTTGGTGTTTTATAATAATATAATTGAGGATACTCACTATTAATTTATGTACTTTATATAATAATTTTTTATGAGTGGATTTAGAAATCTATTTTTGCGCTGTTTATTTATATTTCTTATTGTTTGTGTTTTTTCACAATTTGCACAGCAGCAGTTTAGATTTTGTAGCTTTTGGCGCAGGAATAAGTTTTATTATTCTAAAAATGGGATATGATTGCAACATAAAATCTTTAAATGGTAATTCTAGCGTGCGGAAACCATTTAACCTAAGGTTTCTAAAAAAGACACAAAAGCAACACAATGAAGTTGGAGGAGAGGTGGTTCAATCTTAAGCTACGTAAGGGGCTCTTTACTGTTAGAGGATGTGGAACTCCCTTCCAAAGTCGGTGGTATCAGAAGGGAATATAGATAAATTAAACAAACTTTTAGATGTGTTTCTTACTGAACACAATTTGCAGGGATATGGAAAATCGTAGTGACATAAACACAATATCAGGTTGAACTGGAAGGACCAATGTCTACTTTAAATTCCGTTATTTGTATTCTAGTATGTTAGCAGTTAAATGGTCACCTGAGTGGACTGCGCTCAGTTAACCCTGCTAAGACTAATTTTACAAGTTGAAAATCTTACAAAATTGTGTCAAAAAAACACTGTTCAATGTTTTTCACAAATGGATAATTATAATGAATATTCACACAATTTTTTGAGAAAAGATTCTTAACTCCTTTAGTAAATCGGGCCAGTGCTTTGTAATACTAGAAGTATGTTGAATGTTGAATGTGTATGTTATGATGATTCTAAATAGTAGGAAATGAAACTCCACCCATGGGTGCCCTACAGAGGGGAAGCTTTGAAACTGCAAATGGGCCACATCATAAAGCTGGCTAGTGATACGACAACTGACTTTATGGCAGAATCAAAATGCATTATGATGGAAGTCAGATCACAGTGCTATAATGACTGCGCATTGGGGTTTGGCAACTTTTGTCATGCCATAAGCTTTCGTTACCAGTAGATACATTGTACTAGTTACCAGAGTTAATCTGATCACGTTCCAAATGAATAATGTCTTCTCTGACAAGGCTTTAGTGTCTGAATGATGCCATGTTTCCATCCTTTGAATGATGATCAACACTGATAGCACTGTCTGAATGATGTCATGGTAACCGTGTCTGAATGATAGACTTTACTGCCCGAAAGCATTTCATTTCCTTTGAGTAATAAAATAAATGTATTAAATGCAACTAGTGCAAGTTTTTGAGAGGGTGGGGGGGGGTGCAGCAATAAAAGCCATTCAGATTCTGTTGTAGTACACATATATTGACAGTGAATATGCTGATAGGAGGAAATAATAGAAACATAGAAGAGTGACAGCAGAAAAAGACCAAGTGGCCCATACAGTCTACCCCTTTTTTTTTACCTTTTTCTGAATGTTGATTTATGTTTTTTCAAGCATGTTTAAATCCACTATTGACTAACTTCTTTTTCTGTAGGTCTATTCCGAGCATCCATGACTCTTTTGGAAAAATAAGACTTTTTAGGTATTTCATGTTCCAAGTGTCTTTATTGGTTTTATATCCTTGTCTAAAGCAGTAGTTCTTAACCACCAACACATTGTGCCCCACTGCTGGACTCTGACCTCCCTTCTCCTGGGCCTCCAGCCAGCTGCAGATCCCTTAACCTCCCACAGTACCTCCCAGCTCTCATAGTGCCCCTACCCAACCTCACATATTGGCTTGCAGTGCCCACAGGCCCAATGAAAGCCCTCAGCCTCCACACTACCCCCAACTTCCCACAGTCCCCTCTCCCCCCCCCACCAGTGTGCTGCAGAGCCTCCAGTCCTCCATAGGGACCCCTGACCTCCAACAGTGTCCCCCAGCCCCTTAAGAAACCTGATCCTCTATGCGACCACTAAGTATGCTGCAGCGTCTCCTAAGCCAATCCACAAGCCCGCTCCAGAGCCATTTGGCATCTCAATACACATTTTTCATTCCCATACTTTTATCGTGTGAATATGAAGTTCATTTTTTACTGTTGGGCATGGAAGGTTTTGGAAGAACTTACCAGGCCCTGGTCTCAAAGACTGAAAACCACTGATCCAAATGACACCATGGGGTGGATTTACTAACGGCAAATAGACTGCATTCTGCAGTTGCTCCAGAGCTTAGTAAATAAGAGGAAGAGCTGCTGACTTCCATCAACCAATCATGTGCAAACAAAAATGCTTTTTTAAAATTTTCATTTCATGTGATTGTGTTTTTTTTGCAAAAGTGATACTTCATTTATTTACTAAGCTCTGGAGCAACCACACTTACAGAGTCCACTGTCTATTTTTTTTTTAAATCCGCCCCCATTTTTGCCAGTGTATGGATGCGGCCTTAAACTCAATGTAAAAAGAACTTGAATAACATTAGACCAAACGTGTCAGAGGCAGCTAACAGGCCCCCTCTTTGGCAAAATGTTGTACACTCTGTTGGTAGAAACACCCCTATTTCATTAGACAAAATTTAACAAAGCACTACCAAAATCAAAGATGATCTGAAAACTGCAATATTCCATTTCAAACAGATTTTACATTTTTGCAGTTTCCTTACTGACGGCAGTAAAATGTGACTACTGAACTTTGTTTCTTTATTAAATCATTCTGGAAGTATTGTTTTTAGTTTTGGTATCTCTTCTGATTATCTTGCAGTCCACAGTCCTATGGTGTCCTTGGACATATTATAATCAAACAGTATGACTGATGCCAGTTGCACTGGTAAATAATTGTCTGTGGACCCTTAGACACTAATTTTGGAGAAAGAAGTGATCACCTGGGAAGGATTTTCCTGGCTAGCTACTAATGTGCCCATAAGACAAGGTCAGCACAGGGGTGTCATGTCACTCCTGTGGGTACCTTAAAGCCCAACTCCAGCCCAATGGTTTATTTTAGTTCCCTGGTCTCCTCCTCCCACGCCCGCCTCCAGGACTTCTCCAGGGTGTCACCCATCCTCTGGAACTCCCTGCCCCAACCCATCAGATTATCACCTACTCTCCTCTCCTTTAGGCGCACCCTGAAAACCCACCTCTTCAGGGAAGCCTACCCCCCCCCTGCTAACTTGCCGACCTCCTCCACTCTTCCTACCACTCCATCCCCCACAGCTTTCTCCTCCTGTGCCACCATCCCCTCCCTCCTAGATTGTAAGCTCGAAAGAGCAGGGCCCTCAATTCCCTCATGTTTTGCATTGTATTGGTATTGTTCTGTCCCCCTTTGTAATGTACAGCGCTGAGCAAACTATTGGCGCTTTATAAATATTGTATAATAATAATAATAATAATTTTGTATTGGAAAGAGTGGGAAGAGTTTAAAGTGTTACTAAACCCACAACCGTAAAATCAGTGTGTATATGCAGTAAAGCATGCTTGTTATACTCACTGTGGAACCTAAGGGGTTAATCCTCTGCATTGTGTAAATAGGCTATTTGATCCTGTCTTCTCTGCCCCTCCTCTTGTTGAAATGGCCACCTGATACAGACTGAATCATAGTCACATGCACATGCTTAGTTTGGTGTGTATCGCTAGAGAGGTTTTTTTTTGGGGGGGAGAGTGCATGTGATCAGCACAGGGCTAATCAGCACAGTCCAGACAGAGGGTCAGGAATTTCACATCCTCCTAAAGCAGAAAGAAAACTCCTCCTACAAGCTTTAACCAGTGCTCTACTGAAGTCACAAGACTGCTGTAACTGCTGATGAGAAAAGGTATTTAGCAGTTTATATTTATTAAAATAATTGCATTTCCATGTTCTGTGTACTGTAGGAGACCAGATATAGTGAATGTGATGTCCTGGGTTTAGTAACACTTTAAGACTCTGTTGAGTTTTTATCACTGTTTGTGTCCCTATTGGGGAAATTGTCCCAAATTCCTTTCTTGGATAAGGAGTGGTGGGAATTCTCTACAATGGTTAAACAGACACAAAAAAAACCACACATTTTTAGTAGAGTGAATAAGAGTTCAAACATATGAACCTGTTTATGTTGCTATCTGTGCCTTTCTTTCCACAAGCACAGATGTGAGTTAAAATCTCTTGAATTGGACTCCAGGCGAAAAAACCCTTAGACACGTGTAAAAGAGGTATAAGACCTGTTATTGTTGGTATCCTCTATTGCTGTGAAAGGCTGTCTCACTGGTCAAGCTCTCTTTGGTAAGGCTGCTCTCACGTATCGAACACCCCAGGTAAGGTATTAGACTTATAATAAAAATAAACAGCTAAAACACAGTTTATTTCTAAAGTTTTATTAAAGCACTGAAAGGCTGCTTGGAAGTAAAAAGCTTTCTTGGGACTTTTAAAAACAGTATTGCGGCACAACATATTGCTCTTATATTGTCTGTAAACTAGACCACTGTCATTCAATATGGACTCTACTTTCTGGAAATCCAGTGGCTAATTATTCTATATAGCAGGCCAAGCAGACCTGCGGCTCTCAAGGTGTGGTGAAACCCCAGTCCCAGAATGCACTTCCAGCCAGAGGCATGCTGGGACATTAGGTTCCCCCCACAACTGGAGAGTATGCAATCCGCCAACCTCATCTCTATAGGAGGTCTATCTCCTGCTCTTGAATTATCAGCATAAGGCACTTGAAAGCTGGTTTTCTTCAAGGTTGAAACACAAGGGACAAGAAAATGTTGCTGGTCAAGGTTTTCTAGGGTTCAAGAGGACGTCTTCATTCCTGATAGTCATCATGGTGTTGGGAACTCTCGTTGATGACCTGCCAAAAATATATTATATCATTAATTGGTATTTTGTGAGAAATCTGCTAGTATGTTTAAAGTTTCCTCTACTCAAGAATGAGGCCTGCCCACTTTATAATACCAGCCTCAGACCCTCCGTTTATAGGTGTTAAAGAGCTTAAAATGGACTTGTAATTTGGAAAAGGTGTAGGGAAGATCACTGTTCTTGTTTTTGTTCATTTATGAGGGATCTAGAATATCTTGGATGGGTGAGTTGTATTTTTAACAATAGTCCAATGCTACATTAACAACACCAACCTGTCCATCTCTGGTCTCCACGGTCTTGATCAGAAGTGTTCTTTTGGAATGGCTCTCTACTGGGTGAGAGTCAAGGTTTGTTTCTGAAAAATAAAAAGATTTTGTATTTGAAAAATACATAGAAACCAACACAACCACCTACCACTGTCTGAACTCTGGGGTTGGTTTGTGGGCTTGTGCCCTTAAAGAATATGTAAAGCCAACATTTCATATTCCTAATATGTTCCTGCTGTAGCATGTACTTGTATAAAAAAAGTATCCTGTTCTCTTTGTATTGTTTTCCTTGTGTGAAATCCCTGGTGTTCCTGCCAGTCCCTTTGCTTTCCTAATAAAATCTGACCACACTAGGCAATAGAGCATAGTGTGGTCAGTTCTCTAGCTATGCTGGGAACTAAGGCTGCTCTCCTTCAATGATCAAACTTGTGCTGAACCCCCCCGCACAGCCATCCACTGAGAGGGCCAATGCACTGCTGTTTCACCTCCCTTACCTCTCTGTACAGCTGAGAACAGGGGAAATGTGATCACTTATAAAAAAAAAGGGACAATTTTATTTATAATTTTTCTTTATATCTATACACAAATGTTTTACCTTCCCTTCTATTTTAAACTGTATGGGTTGTTTTACAAGGTGAGGGTACACTTAAACATTAAGAAAGCTCTCCCCATATGGTACGCTGACCCTCTCCACGATACCCTGATTTGCAGATGTGTGAATGAATAAAAATAAATATTTACCTCTCAAGCTCATGGTGGAAAAGGAACTCACTGGAATGCTGATTCTGAAAAAAACCCAGAAATGTCATTTAGATTAATCCAACAACCATGGCCATTATGCCTGGCCATTTAGACCAGCCTTTCTCAACCAGGGTGCCTTTGCACCATCTGGGTTGATCAGGGGTTCTGTCATATGATGGCAATGATGACGACAGTATAACACATTAATGCGTGGCACTACACGTTCAGTGGCTCTGCATGTAGGAGGCATGTGAGTGCATACCCAACCCTCAGCACAGAGACAGAGCTGTCACTGACAGCTCCTGGTGTTAAATTAATGATTGAGCGATAATAGGCTTTCATTAAAATGTTAGTAATGTGTGCCAGCCACTAATATAAATAAACATACTTCTAAGCTGTCCATTTCACTGTTTCAAACTTTCCTCTATTTTGCCACTTCAGTGTAGTCCAAGCAGTACTGTCCCTACAGCCATCGAACAAACTCCTCCCTACTACAGCAAAACCCCTCCCTCAAGCAACATGCTTCCAAAAACAGAATAGCTACTCCCCCTATAGCACTGTGTCACATAGAACAAAGCTCTTTCCCCAAGCAATATTCTGTCATACAGAAATCCCTTCCTTGCATCTTGTTCTTGAAAGCAGTATAGCTCCTCCCCTGAACAACAGTCTCCTGAAAGCAACAGAACTCCTCCCTTGAGCAACATTCTCCTGAAAACAGAATAGGCTCTTCCTCTTGCAGCTTTCTGTTACTTACAGCAAAGCTACTCCCATCCCCACCATGCAACATTCTCTCACACCACATGGTCCCACCCCCCAGCAATAATCTCTTAAACACAGCATAGCTCCTCTCCCTGCAGCGTTCTCTCATACACAGCAAGCCTCCACTTATGTAATTTTCTCTCATGCATAGCAAAACTCCTCCTGCAAGCAACAATCCAAACAGGATTAGTCCTCCTTGCACCTGCCACATCCTCCCTAAAGCTAGCCCTTTCCATAGCGCCTTCATAACACTGATCCTCCACTCTGCAGTATCCTCTCTCATACAGCATAGCCCTCCCCTCCTTAAAAAAACACAGCACAGCCACTCCCTTTCTTTGAAAGCACAGCATAGCAGCTCCCCTGCTTTGAAAACACAGCATAGCCCCTCCCCTGCTTAGAAAACACATCATAGTCCTCTCCCCTGCTTAAAAAACACAGCATAGCCCCTTCCCTTCTTAGAAAAACAATCAATTGCCTCTCCACTGCTTAGAAAACACAGCATAGCTCCTCCACCATGCAGCTTTCTCTCATACACAGCAAGCCTCCACTTATGTGATTTTCTTTCTAGCAAAGCCCTCCCCTGCTTAAAAAACACAGCATAGCCCCTTCCCTGCTTAGAAAACATAGCAAAGCCTTCCCCTGCTTAGAAAACACATCATAGTCCCCTCCCCTGCTTAGAAAACACAGCAAAGCCCCTTCCCTTCTTAGAAAAACAAATAATTGCCTCTCCACTGCTTAGAAAACACAGCATAGCTCCTCCACCATGCAGCTTTCTCTCATACACAGCAAGCCTCCACTTATGTAATTTTCTTTCTAGCAAAGCCCTCCCCTGCTTAGAAAACACATCATAGTCTTCTCCCCTGCTTAAAAAAACACAGCATAGCCCCTCCCCTGCTTAGAAAACACAGCATACTCCTCCCCTGCTTAGAAAACACAGCATAGCCCCTCCCCTGCTTAGAAAACCTAGCAAAGCCCTCCCCTGCTTAGAAAACACATCATAGTCCCCTCTCCTGCTTAGAAAACACAGCATAGCTCCTCCACCATGCAGCTTTCTCTCATATGCAGCATAGCTCTTCTACCTTACAGCATTCTCCCTCACAATATTCCATCCACTTAGCAGTACTTAAAGTGGAACTAAACCCTCCTATCCTTTACAGCCATGGAAGCTGCCATCTTAGTGTCTGGTTGATCTGCAGTTGCCATGGTGCTGCACAAGTGATCAGTTAAAGTTGAGAAAGTCTGATTAATTATTATCATTTTATGTCACTGCAATAGAAATGCCAAATTGTGTGTTTGATAAAGAGACCAGTGCTGCTTCTTTTACCTGCTCTCTTCTCCCTCCAGCAGTTTCCTGTAGGTGGCGATCTCAATATCAAGAGCCATCTTTACGTTGAGCAGATCTTGGTACTCGCGCAGGTGGCGGGCCATCTCCTCCTTCATTTTATGGATCTCATCCTGGAGGCGGTTATTATTGTCCTGGTAGTTAGCGGCTTCAAGGGCGAAGTTCTCTTCCATCTCGCGCATCTGGCGCTCGTAAGACTCGTTCTGTAGGACAGGACAATTTACTTGTAGACAGCAAAAACGTTCAGGATATTAGAGTAATATAACCAGCAATGAAAGTCAAATGATATAATAACTATATGATTATAGCGTGGAGTCCTCAGCCGTGCGCATGGCAGGAAGCCTTTGTATGGGATTCAGCTATACAGAAAGCAAAAGAGGGCGGCAATTACTGGTAAATTATCATAAAAGCTTTTGGCTGCATCACATGACCTCTCTTTGCGTGGCCAAATGGAGTGGTGGGGAGCGATGCAAAGTTAAAAATAAACAGCTACGGGGGCTACTATTAAAGCACAAGGACAAAGCACAGGTTCACCTGGTAAACAAGTGAAAAAGGAGCCTACAAATCCACTTGCTAGGTTGAAATAGTAAATATGAAATATATATATACATTATTTCATATTGGTCTAAAAATGTAGACATTACATTTCTTAACAGAATATTACCAAGAATATCTACAAAACATTATGGTGTCTATTTAAAAGAAATAAATAAATTGCTGTACAAATGTCACAGCGTCTGCACAGCCATTGCGAAAAATGCCGCTAATGTGTCTCATTTTAGTTCATATGATTGTCAGCCCCATCTAGAGGCCATAATGTGGCACAATTCCTGATATTCCTCAATCATGAAAATACTGCATTATGGCCACTAGATAGAGCTGATGCTTAGAAACAAAATAAACACATTAGATTTATTAGGGGGATTATTATTCATGAATGCTGTGACATTCATACAGCAATTTTGTTTATAAAGAGACCTCTATTTATTCTACATTATTGCATGTACTGTACTGTCTTTTCAAAATATTTTTTTTTTACCTGCAACAGATGCCAGCCTTATATATATTTATTTCAGGTACTTATATAGAGCTGTCAATTACACAGCACTTTACATATATATTGTACATTCACATCAGTCCCTAACCCTCAAGGGGTGTACAATCTAAGGTCCCTAACTCACATTCATACATACAAATACAAGGGCCAATTTAGACAGGAACCAATTAACCTACCAGCATGTCTTTGGAGTGTGGGAGGAAACCAGAGGACCCCCATGCAGGCACAGGGAGAACATGTAAACTCCAGGCAGGTGGTGGTGTGGTTGGGATTTGAACCAACAACCCTAGTACTGCCAGGCAGAAGTGCTAACCACTTAGCCACTGTGCTGCCCCATCATCTTATTAATGCATGTTAATGTTTTAAAGCCCTTGTTTCTAGCTTTAGTTATTTTATTTGCACAGGGATGTACACAGGGGCAGTCATATATGCTCATGAAATACTCAGGCTCTGATTTCTGCTTTGAAATGCTACACAAAGGCTGCACTTTGCTGGTCCTTCTCACAATGCACGTCTTTGAGCCAGATGATGTTTTGAAACCAATGCACCCCCTGTGTGGCTGGTATGTCATCTAAATTATTGTTAAAAGAAGTAGATTCGGCTAAGCCAGTGAGAGCTCCTTCTAGGATAGGGGTGTCAAACTGGCGGCCCTCCTGCGGTTGTAAAACTACAAGTCCCATCATGCCTCTGCCTTTGGGAGTCATGCTTGTAACTGTCAATCTTGCAATGCCTCATGGGGCTTGTAGTTTGGCAACAGCTGGAGGGCCGCCAGTTTGACACCCGTGTTCTAGTGGCTAAACTACAGCTTTCTATATTTAAAGCTAACCAGCTATAGAAGAAACAAGGAAGGGCTATGGATGACTTCTACTTCAGGCGGGTTCACAATGGTGCACTGCGGTTTGGCCGCAGCATAGTTGCCTCCATGTTTTTTGTGCACTTTAATTGCGGTTTTAGCTGCGGTGTCATAGACTTCTATTGGGTCGTGTGTTTTTTCCCCATGTTTCCTGAAAGCGCACCAAAAATGCAGGAATTTTGGTGCACTTTCAGAAAACATGGCAAAAGCATGCAACCTAATAGAAGTCTATGGGACTATAGCTAAAACGGTCAATACAACAAACCAAAACTGCAGATACACTCGTGCTGCAGCAAAACCGCAGCGTACCAGTATGAACCCAGTCCTCTGGAAATGCTACATAATGTAAATGTAATGATCTCCTTGTGTTTTTTTATGTGGAGAGTGACCTGGAACTATTATGTATATAAGGAACCATGACTTTTCTTGATTGGCATACTTGTTCTGCGTCAGTGGCTCAGGAAGTAAGTAAAGTGAGCGGGTCAGCATAGGAGCCAGACAACCAACATTTTCAGGAAGGTCAGCAAATGACAACCTCCATTTTTTCTATTATAACAAGTTTACTTTAATATGGTGACAAATATATGGAAACGGAAAATCATATAAAAATGTATTAAAATCTGAACTCCAGGTGGATATGAGACACAAGTTAATGCAGCTCTGTATCCATTAAGCCTAGGTTCACACTTGTGAAATCGCATTTGTTCCTGACCCTCCAGCAAAACACACTGCTCTTTAGCAGATGTATGGGGTGCCATTAATTCTTCATGGAATCCCCACACATCAGAATATGCAGCACGTTTTTAGAAAAAGAGTCAGAGACTGTTTTCCACACGTTTCTCGCAGATACGGCAGCCCATTCAAATTATGGGATGATGCTCACGCAAACGCACATGCACTAATACATCGATGATTCGAATCCCAACCATGGTACCACCTGCCTGGAGTTTGCATGTTCTCCCTGTGCCTGTGTGGGTTTCCTCCGGGTACTCCGGTTTCCTACCACCAGGGGCGGACTGACCATTTGGAAACTTGGGTACTGCCTGAGGGCCCGGAGTCAGTAGGGGGCCCCATGAGATGCCCCTGGTACCTTTTTCATAGGCTTTTTTGAGTTTGGGCAAGGACACAGGGGCCCCATGTTCCCCTATTGCCTGGGGGCCCCATGAGTTGTCAGTCCGCCCCTGCCTACCACACTCCAAAGACATGCTGGTAGGTTAATTGGCTCCTGTCTAAATTGGCCCTAGTATGTGTATGTATGAATGTAAGTTAGGGACCTTAGATTGTACGCTCCTTGATGGTTAGGGACTGATGTGAATGTACAATATATATGTAAATTGACTTCGCTATATAAGTACCTGTAATAAATAAATAATAATTAAAAATTTAATTTGTTTGAAAAAAAAAAGGCTTGTCTACGCAGCCCTCGTCCCATACACACTGTAAAGTATACCCAAGGAAATATCTTGTTTTACTTACAGATCCTTTCATTGCGTCCACCTCACAGGTGAGAGCCTGGATCTGCCGGCGGTATTCATTGGTCTCCTGCTTAGCCTGGCGCAAGGCTTCATTGTTGCGGTTAGCAGCTTCAGACAGATCAGCAAACTAGAAAAAAAAAAACAAAACAGATGACTTAACATTTGTAGTGACACTACACAGATACGTCAGTTTGTGGTAGACACCAAAGACTTATTCATCTATCAGATGGGACATAGAAAGAAATTACTACATCAGCAGCAAACCTTTTTAACCCCTTCTCGACCCTTCTCGCTGCAGCCCCTGGGGCTTAAGGGGTGGCACAGATTTCCCAATGTGACCACTGTGATTGGCTGTCAGAGTGGTCACATGATCAAGTGCCAACCACAACGGCTCCTGATCATAACTATATGTGTGGCAACAAGAAGGGTGGGCCTTAATGTCCACATGCTGATATGCATCATATGGGCACTCACTCTATGCTTCCAGCACTGCATCCACAGCCACCATGGTTGCATATGTGCAGCGTATGGACACACTCCTTGATGCCCTACATATAAGTTTTTGGCAAAAGGATAAAGCAACCCTTTACTTTTCAAATTTTTATAGAAACTGCTGCTAAATTTGAACTATACAGCTTGTACACAACTCAACAGTGAATAATCAGTCAGCAAAGCTCCAGTCTACTCCTATTGAATCAGTTATTCCCTAATTGAACTCCTCCATCTTGCCCCAAAGGGGAGGTGAAACCAGACTGACAATGACACTCACACATCAATAACGCTCTTTCTGTAATAATCACAAATCTCTGATTTCTGTTCGTCAGTGGCCAGGGTGGGTGGGGGGATTGGTTAGAGTTGGAGCTGAGGGCTTAGTTATGGACTTTTGAAAACAAGTCAAAATTTGCATATCATTAATAGCAATTTTTAAGGTCACCTCAGACAGAGTGATTTTCTTTACTGCAACCAGAGGATTACAACCATGGGCCCCCGCCAGGAGAACACAGTGATTACTGCTAGCAGCTATCATAACCGCTAGCAATAATTGCATGTAAAATCCAGCTGGTTGGTTTACCCAATTAACTTGGGCACATTCAGCCTGCTCATACATTGTGCGAATCTCAGCCAGTTCCTGCTGAACTGACCAAGATTCCAGTCGTCTATGGCCAGGTTTAGTCTTCTAAGGGTGCACAATTTGGGAAAAGAAGGAGTGCATGTAAAACAGCTGAAGGAGCAGATACTGAGCGTATTCTTGATCAATTTCCGTGGCTAAGCCTGGGGTGAAGTTAGCTACACCCCTCACTGGGTTACCCAAAGCCTAAAAACCCAGAAGTATACGTGCCCAGCTATTTTCAGTTTGGGCTCTTTTATCAAAGGTCCTGAACAGTCCTGCTAAATTTGGGATTTTCGGCCAGTATACTAAAGATCTAAGTCACATCTCAGATTATAGGAAAGTCAAAATATGTGCCGCTGCTTTCTTCAGTCTCATTGCAGTACCTTAGACTTGTACCAATCCTCGGCATCATGCAGGTTCTTAGCAGCAACGTTCTCGTACTGTTGACGGACATCACGCAGGGCTGCTGTGAGGTCGGGCTTGGCCACATCCATGTCTATCTGTACGTGTTGTTCTTGGATTTGAGCTTGAAGTTCACGGTTTTCCTGGAAACGAGAAAATTAACCATTTGGTAATGCTTGATTGACATAGAACAGTGGTTCTCAACTTTCCTAATGCCGCGACCCTTTAATACAGTACCTCAAGTTGTGGTGACCCCCAACCCTATAATTATTTACCCAGTAATTATAATTCATGAAGTGTCGTTTTACCTCCAATACTGCTGCTTTCTACACAGTAGCTGCTTTCTACAGAGTAGCTGCTTTCAACACAGTAGCTGCTTTCAACACAGTAGCTGCTTTCTACACAGCAGCTGCTTTTTACACAGTATAATATATGTGTTTTCCGATGGTCTTAGGTGACCCCTGTGAAAGGGTCGTTCGACCCCCAAAGGGGTCGCGACCCACAGGTTGAGAACCACTGACATAGAACATGCAAAAAAAACACATTACTATCCAGTAGACTGCAGCAATTCACCATACATTAAAGTGGTTGTAAACCCTTACATACACTCACCGGCCATTTTATTAGGTACACATGTTCAATTGCTTGATAAAACACAAATTGCTCCAGCCAATCACATGGCAGCAACTCACTGCATTTAGACATGTACACGTGGTGAAGACGACTTGCTGAAGTCCAAGCCAAGCATCATAATGGGGGAAAAAGGGGATTTAAGTGACTTTGTATGTGGCATGGCTGTTATTGCCAAACGTGCTGGTGTGAGTATTTCAAAAACTGTGGATCTACTGGGATTTTCATGCACAACCATCTCTAGGGTTTACAGAGAATGGTCAGAAGAAGAGAAAATATCTAGTGAGCTGCAGCTGTGAGGACGATAATGCCATGCTGAGGTCAGAGGAGAATGGGCAGACTGGTTGCTGCGACATTCAGATGGTAGGGTCAGAATTTAGTGTAAACAACATGAAACAATGGATCCATCCTGCCTTGTATCAACAGTTCAGGCTGGTGGTGGTGTCATGGTGTGGGGGATATTGTCTTGGCACTAGCGAGGTGTACCTAATAAAGTGGCCGGTGAGTGTATACCCACTGAAGTTACAAGCCTCAGGTGATACACAGAGATGAAAAGAGATACTATTAGAGTTGTAACGGCGGAGCAAGCTGTGTCCAGATCTGTGGACAGACTAATCACTGGAGGAGCAGAGTGGTTCTGCCACCTTAAGCCCAGATCTCCACATACTGCTGAAAAAACCCTGATGGAGACTAAAGCACTAAATACACTGGTAGCTTTTTTTTTTAACAAACATTCATATGAACAGTTTCAGCAGTACATTCAATGCCAACAGAGACTTGACAAATGTCATTCGAAAGTACTTCAAAATTGTGTTTGCTTTTAACATTCAATTTTGAGATAACTTCAACCAAAACTAAATACGCTGCTAGAAAAAAATTATTTTGAGATAAATTTTCCATCCTGCTCCTTTGAATTGGAACGGACGTTGCATAAACAAAAATTTTCAAACACAAATCTATTAGTAAATAGTCAACTTTATTAAAGCTGAACAAAGATCTAATCTATTATTTCCCAAAGAGCTAAGGACATCACTAGCTAAAATCACTAATCCCTAATGATAGAATAGGGTGCACCTCTGTGAATACTGCCTTAGTCTCACAAATTGGGTGTAGGAATGGTGTGAAGAGTCATTACTGGGCATATGTCAGCCAAGAGCTAGATTATTTAAGTTAGTTTTCTACAACTCATCTGAACGCAGTAAAACAGCCCATTCCATTTAATATAGAAATGAAGGGCAAAACATCCCAGTGAATGGCTGTGTGGGGGGTAGTTGGGGGTAGGCGTGTCAGCACAAGTCTCATCATTGGAGGAAAGCAGGCTGAGTTCCCAGCATAGCCAGAAAACTGACCACGCTGTGCTTTCATGCCTAGTGTAGTCAGTTTTTAATACAAAAGTAAAGGGACTGGTAGGAAGACCAGGATTTCACATAGAGGAAACAATGCAATGAAAGCAGGATTCTTTTTCATCCAAGTACATGGTACAACAGGCACATATCAGGAATATGAAATGTTGGATTGACATTCTTTGAGATTCAATAAAAAAAGCAGCGCAACATAAATGAAACACAAACTCACCTCATCGTGTAACTTCTTCAGGAAGATGATCTCCTCCTGGAGGGATTCCAGTTTGCGCTCCAAGTCAATACGTGCCAGGGATGCATTGTCAACATCCTGTATGCAAAGTGGAACATGTGTCAGTTTATTGTAGTAACATGCATGGTTACGCATACATACAGTCTTCAAACACCACTTCAATCATTGCGTTTCAGGCACCAATATTTACAATGAATATCATCAATATTGCTCAGAAAAGGACTCATTTATCAAGGGCGTGTGAGATTCCCACTTTCATTATTGAACACGAGACAATGGGCCTAATTTACTAAAGTACAGTAAACTGTACACTAGCACAAAAGTGAATCTTCATTTGGCTTTAAGGAGAACCTGTCAATTGCCAATAATGTCCTAATGGCACTCCCCCTCGGCCTTCTGTCTTCTATCTCCCTTCTGTTCCAGTGTTGCAATCTCTGCCAGCCTCCTCAGCATTCAACACTTCTGGAAGTGTCAGATGCCTGTTTCCCGTGCACTGTGGTTCCTTCTTCCGACCCCTACATCACTAAAGGACTCAGCAGTGATGAAGGAGTCAGAGGATGGAGTCATAGCACATGGTTGGGAAAGCAAGTATCCAACACTCCTGGAAATAATAAATGCTGAAGAGTCTTATGTAGGCTGTAACGCCTAAATGGAAGGAAGGTAGAAGACATGAACCACCAGAAAGATGAGTATACATTAGTGTGATGGTCAGTGGGAAGAATGCTCCTTACACTTGTGGTCATTGGCAAGAATTACCCCCATACAGACAGCTAAAAAAAAAAAGTCAGTGGGAACTTATCTGAGAGGTAGAAATTGCTCATTGCTCATGGAACCCCTAGCAAAATCTGGAGGAACCTTGGTTGAGAACTCCTAACATAGGACATGGTAGGTGAAGTTAGTAGTAGTAAGTCATATTCATCTGGACGTTTTCTGTAATACTGAAGACTTTTTGTGGCTTCTCTAAGCCAATGAAGAAGTAACTTTTCCATCAAAATTGACAGCACAGTTATCAGGTGCTTCACTCATACCAGGGTGTTAGGTGTAATTCTGGACTCTGCTCATCTTCAGGCTCTATATCCAACCATTGTCTATATCTTGCCGTAACACTGGCAAAATACTCCCCTTCTTAACCAATGAAGCCACCAATCTACTAATTCACCCCCTTGTTATCTCTCACCTCAACTATTGCACCTCCCTCCTTGTTGGACTACCTCTACACAGGCCAACCCCCACCCCTTCAATCCGCTTTACCAATTTTCTACTGCCCCTCCCTGCCAATCCTTTCGCTGTCTTCCATGCGCCTAAACAGAAAAATTCTAAATACTAACAACAACATCTCGTCTCAAAATATCACCAACACCATCCTGAGTGCTCAACCCAAGACCTGCCGCCCTTGTCACCTCCTCCCATTCTTACTTACAGAACTTCTCCAGAGCCTCACCTATCCTATAGAACTCTGTACTCCAATCTGTTTGGCTATCCCCTGCTCTGTCTGCTTTTAGGTGATCCCTGCAAACTCATCTCTTTAGGGAAGCCATATTGTCTACCTAACAACTGGAATTTGAGCTCTAAAATACTCCACCTCCCACACAGCTATTACCTTTTGAATAATTTCCCCTTCTCTTTTATACTGCAAGCTTTCAGGAACAGGGTCCTCCTAACCGTCTTGTATTGAATTGTATTGTACCTGTACTGGTTCCCTTTATTTTGTAAAGTGAGGTGCAAACTGTTGGCATTACATAAATTCTTTATAATATTAATGTGACTAACTACTACTAGTGAGGCCTGATATATAATCAATGGCAGTGACTATTCTTGGACACAACTGCAAGATTTCTATATTGAGTTTGTGCTTTAACAATTTAAAGCATTTATTAACTGTAAAAGATTGAGTAAAACAAGAAACAGCTGATCATTCTGCATGTGACGGGAGCTCCATAAATGCCTCATATATTCACTTTACATATGAAAGGGCATGGCACAAAGAGTGCTGTGTTCAGGAATAATTGTGGGTGCAAAACATGTCAGCAGTTAATCCACCATTGTGTCCCTGGCTGCTCTTCCTACAATAGAACTCAGTATCAGAAATAAATATTGACAAACTGTTTAATAAGTATAAAATAATAACCATGTGGAAAACATAGAGTGGCTAGTATAGGTTTGCAGAAAATGTTAATGAGGAAGTGATAAAGGATATCAAATGAAGGGTCAGTAAAGAAGAACGTCTTTTTTATTAGATTGTAAGCGCCATGGGCAGGGCCCTTCTAACTATCTTGTCTTGAAGTGTACTGTCATCCTATATATTGTAAAGCGCTGCCAAACTGTTGGCCCTATATAAATCCCAAACAATAGTAATAAAAGATTTGAGATTTATTGGATACTATTAAAGGGGAACTATCATTTTTTGTAATTTTTCTTGCACACATTTGTCATGCGTAGGATAGCCCACTGAAATTAATGGGCTGCCCTATGCGTGTGGCGAAAATATCATCCACAAACGCTCAAAAACAAGGCATGATTTTGAAAGTGTTGTCAAAACCCTATAAATGCTGCCGAAAGCCTAAGTCCAGCCAAACCTTTTATCAGATTTATACAGAGGAGGGAAGAGTTAAAATTGTTTCCCAAATTTTATAGATATTTGTGACCCTCGATGGAGAAATTTCAACGCACTTCCTGTCCATGTGACACCTATCCAAGAAATGGGGGTGTGACTGCCACCAAAACAAGAAATCACAGAAAGCAAAAATAACATTTTCAGACATTGTGACCTTTCCAAATCATTTTAAAGCTGAACTCCAGGCAGATATAAAAGACACAATTCATCACAGCTCCATAATCCTGATTATTATTATTATACAGGATTTATATAGCGCCAACAGTTTGCTCAGCACTTTACAATATAACGGGAGACAATACAGCAACAATACAGTTCAACACAAGAGGGATAGGAGGGCCTGATCCTTGGATGATGTGATTCCTCAAAATGCATTGAGGCTTGGCCGTTGTCGTCACTTTCAGTTTCTGTCTATGTCACTTCCGGTGAACAAGTTCAGGTTTGTGGAATGCATGCCGGCTCAGGGATTGCGAGTGCTAGCGACGGTGCATGGAGTTTGATCCTACCCTTCGCTTTGTGCTAGTACCGATTAGGCACAACAAAATGTGAGTGCAATTAGTTTTACTGACTTTCCTTTTTTAATCAATCATACTGCACTATAGAAGCTTTGTCTCAACGAGTATATGTGTACCATTCCCATCTACAAGAGATTACGCATTACAAGAAAGTGATGTTACCTGCCCCATTTCCATTTCCTCTCCTTGCTGATGGTCTCAATTGAGAGGTGTGATAGGCTCACTGATTATAAAGATCTGGTAAGTTAATAATCTCACCACACGTGATGGATCACTAGTCATTGGATCATGCTTTGCTGGGTTTTTTGCCTTCCTCTGGATCAACTGTGGGTATAGGATTATAACTTTTTTTTTTTTTAATGGTTGAACTAGATGGGCTTTTGTCTTTTTTCAGCCAGACTAACTATGTAACTATGGTCTTTGGAATGAACATTCACCATCGGGTTCTGTGAACACAGTGCATGGGTTCTCTGCATATTTGTTGCATGGACACTTTATGAGTATTGAAATTAGATACCATATATTTGTATGGACATTTTATGAACTACATATTATGTATTAATCATTCTGCACACATTTTGTTGGGATTTCACTTATTTAGTAGGTTATTGATATCATTTATTTTAGGAGTAGCGTCTACTTTTAATTATTTTTGGTTTTATATAAAGTAGAATTTTAGCTTCACCCTAACGGTCTAAAAAACTGTCCCCTCTCCCCTCCTAACACCTGTGCTAACTAACCTGTGCAAAAAAAGGTGTATATTTACCTATTTTTGGGCCGCTCTGGTCTGATCACATGATCCCCTGTGTTAGCCAATAGTGGCTGCAGGGGGGGAGAAGAGAGCACCAACAATGGCTGGAGTGGTGAAGTCATCCATAGGCTACAATAGCCCATTTATTGTCAGCACTACCTCCTCTCTCCAAATATATGCGTATGTGTCTTTGTGTTGGGATTGTTAGTATGGGACCTGGGGCTCCCAGTGAGACCCCGATCTCTGTACTGCACAGCGCACTCCCAGCACAAAGACACATAAGCCTAGTCTAGTGGAGGAGATCACACGGCCAGCTCAAAGCAGGCTGAAAATAGTTGAAGCGGAGCTCCACCCAAAAGGGGAAGTTCCGCTTTAGGACTGCTCCCCATTAAGGATTGGAACCTTTGGGGGGCGGGGGTACCCAAATTTGACAGGTACCCACTCCCATTTTCGGTCCGATCACCTAGGCGATCGGAAACAGAAGGAGTCCTCCCTCCCTCCCTTCCTGTAGTCTTTTGGGACACGTGACAGGTCCCAGAAGACTACAGGACCATTCATGAAGCGCAGAGCTACTCATGCGCAGTGGGCACCAGGCTGTGAAGCCGCAAGCTATCACAGCCGGGTACCCACACTGAAGATGCCGGCCTCCTGTAATCCATGAGGGCTGGTGAAATGGGCTGCGGGAGACACACCACGGGACTGAGGGACAGGTGAGTGGCTGTTATTTAAAAGTCAGCAGCTACAGTTTTTGTAGCTGCTGACCTTTATTTTTTGACAGGTGAGTGGAACTCCGCTTTAAGTACATACATCTTTTTTTTACACAGGTTAGTCAGCATAGGTGTTAAGAGGGGGTGGGGACAGTTTTAAGCTTAGTTAGGGTTAAAGCAGAATTTCACACTAAAAGGAAAGTTCTGCTTTATGTCCCCCCCCCCTCTATCACTTTTTTTGGGTTGATGCAGAAAGTGGGTACCTAGTTGTGGTAGGCACCTGCTCCCACTTCCAGTCAGATCGCCTAGGCGGTTCCACTAGAAGTCCAATCCCTCCCCGCAACCTCTTGGGACAGGTCACAGGAGGCTGCAGGACCATCGCACAGTGCAGCGCGGCTCATGAATGCTCAATGGGAAGCCGGCTGTGATGCCGCAAGGAGACACAGCCAGCTTCCCACACTAAACGTGCCAGTGCTGGCGATCGGTGAAGA